AAGTTAGGAGATTATGTTGGAGTCTATAGGACAGTATGGATCTGATTATATATCACCTTCTTACCATGATGTGAGGATACCGTTGCTTCAGAAGGCGAAGCTAAAGACCGACAAGTTGAGAAGCATCAATTGGCATGGAAGGAATATGGTTGCACTCTCATGTCCAGTGGGTGGACGGGCGACACTTGATCAATTTTCTCGCCAAATAGTCCTGAAGGTACATTCTTTTTAGGGACATCTAATGTTTCTTCTGAGTCCGTTACTGCTGAGTTAGTTGCAACATTACTGAGTGAGCAGATTGAGGCAATTGGGCCTGAATTGGTAGTCCAGGTGGTTGGCGACAATGGTTCCGATTACAAGGCAGCCGGGAGATTTCTAATGGAGAAGTATCCAAATTTGTATTGGACACCTTGTGCTGCCAACTGTTTGGATCTTATGCTAGAGGGCATTGGAAAGATAAGAGAATTTAGTGATTGCATTGCTAAAGCAAAGAGAACAACCAGATTTATTTATGCCCATGGTAGGGTTCTTGATCAAATGAGAAGCTTGAATGGTAAGAGAGATCTTGTGAGGCCTGGAGCAACTCGTTTTGCAACAGCATTCCTCACACTGGCCAGCATGTTGCAACAACGCCATCATCTGAAAGCTCTCTTTGTTAGCATAGAATGGCATGCATAGAATGGCATGCAGACAAGTTGAAGACCACCACACCAGGGAAGATGGCTGAAAAAACCATGCTCTCTGTGACGTTTTGGCAATCGGTGGAGAATTGCACGAGAGCTTCACAACCCATTCTTCAAGCTTTGAGAATTGTAGATGGTGATGAGATGCCAGCAATGCCAGTATGTAATGAGAATTGTAGATGGTGATAGTGCATATGGTGGCGTTGCTTATGATCTCCAATCTTATGCAAATCGAATCATTAGTCTATGCTGTTCCTCTTCCAGCTGCGAGCGCAATTGGAGGGTATTTAATCATGTAAGTAACTACCAATTGGATGGTTTGATAGCTAAGTGCAGCACCTTCTCACCAAAGAATTTGCTTGCAGATCCATACCAAAGGAAGAAACTGCTTGGAGTATAAGAGATTGAATAAGCTAGCCTATGTCTCTTACAACAGGCAAATGACAACTAGGTTTCAAAAGTTAAGTGAGCAAGGTTGCAAAGGAAAGAGGGCTAATGCACTTACCCTAGAAGAATGTCAGTGGGATAATGAGTGGGTTGATGTCAGTGCTGAATTGGTTCAACAAAATGAAGCTAACAATGATAATCCACTACTTTGGTCCCAAGTTGATGAGGCTGTTGGTGCGACAGATGGTCTAAGTGGACGCCATGTTCCAAGGAGGGCTCGCGGTGATTTTAGTGAGTCAAGTCTAGTTTTGACCCACTGGCCCTCATATGGTTTATACTCAAAGGCCAAATCCGGTCATCAATGATGAGGAGTTGAGGGCTGAACTGGAAGCTGGAGATATTGATAGTGACATGGAGACAAATGATGAAGACAAATGATGAAGACATAGAGATATCAATCTGGACTGATTTGAGGCTTGAAGATGTGTATCTTTAATTGCTTTTGCTGGACTGAACTTGTGGTGTTGTTGAACCTCTCTATTTCCATGATGACCTCCTTTATTTTGTAACTCAGACCACTTATGTTGGTCTTGTGATGCTGTGTGAACATATTTATTTGCTATCTTCGGTTCTTCATATATCCTTGGAGTGCTGACTTTTTTCTTATGCCATTGCTTGAGTGTTTATCTGTTTGATAGTGCAAATCTGATTGCTTTTATCTTTTGTAGGCTGCTAGTGCTGGTTTGTGGCTAAAAAGCACGGATACGGGGACACGGACACGGCGACACGCATACGGGGACACGGGATACGGCATTTTCCAAAAACAGCCCATCGGGGACACGGCAAGTATATATAAAAAAATAAAAAAAATGCCATGTAATATAGAGTTAAAGACGAAAAAATAACGAGAAAGAGATTGCCCCATTCAGCAGTAACTGGGCCACAAAGAAGATGATCCATTAGTAGTTGGGCCAGCCCAGCTAGTGCCGTTTCAAGACCAACTGGATGCTACAGATTAACCTGCACCTTTAAAACTCAAACCCTATCTCTCTCTGCCCTAACGCTTTGACCAAGCCGCCAAACTCCTTCCAGCGGTGGATCTCTCATCTACCCCGCAGCAGGCCAGCAGCTCTGGCCACCGCCCTCCTCCCAGCGTGCTCCTCTTGCTGCAGCAGCGGCAGCGGCCCACGCTGCAGCGGGGTATGCAGCAGCAGCAACGGCGGCGGCGCGGGCGCGACAGCAGCAGCACCGCGGTGGCAAGGGCGCAGCAGCAGCACGGCGGCGTGGGCAAAGAAGCAGCAGCGCGGCGGCGGTAGGGTGCTCCAGATCCAGCGTTGCGTCGTATCCCTTTCGTGTCCCAGCCGTGTCCTCCCTTTTTCTTTCTTTCTTTTAATTCTTAATTCGGGAAATACGGCGGGATACGTGTATCCCTGCGTGTCTGAGCGTGTCCCCGTGTCCCGCCGTGTCAGCACGGGGATTCGGCAACTTCTGCGGTGTCCATGCTTTGTAGGTTTGTGGAGAAGCAGAGGCCCTGGCCACTGGATATTACAATTGGCACAGCCTCAGGTTCTTCATCAAACTTCCATGCATTCTATTTGTATTGTCTGTAATACTGTGCTATTGTTATATATAGTATAAATTATATTGTGTGCTACAGTATCATGTCGCCTAGTTTCGATTAGTCTATAAGCCTCATCCTTCGAACGACTCGTTGACTCTTCGACTCGTAAAGGTTGGAGGGGAAAAGACTCCTAGGGTCTTAACAAATGGCAAGAACAGGTTGGTTTGAAACTACTGTGAGGCCAAAAAAGCTAGATTGCCAGATATCACCGCAATAAAAACTGAAAATCTGCTAGTAGGATTGAATACCTTGAAATTCCTGAAACATAATGAAGATCCAGTTGTGGTGAAAACAAATAGATGATCACTTTTTAGTAAATCTTCATTCTCTGAAGAGCCAAAGATCTGCAAGACAAATGCTCGGATTATATCTGCAAGGTATTAAAATTTTATGGAATACATAAAATGAAGTGCTCCTTACAGTAATGAGCCTTTTTTCACTTCAGTGTTACTCAAATCGGATGAAAAAGCAATTGCGGGTCGTTTGGCTGTGATGAAATTTTTTCCATGTATTATTGCTGCAAAAGAAATACATATATGAAATAGTCAGTAAAATAATAACAATATTTGCAACAACTATAATGAAATCATTTACAGTGAGTGGCAATATCAGAGGCATATAACGACACCACGGCCATGAACTAACCATATGTACGGCAGTCTATCTATCTAAATCATGATTAGTCGCTATATTTAGGATTACATAAAGATAAGGTAGGATATCAAAGACAAAAGTTCCTCCTAAGGATAGTGTTTTTCTGGAGCAGTGCCGCCCTGGGGCATATATATAGTACTCCCTCCGTCCCAAAATAAGTGTCTTGAGCTTAGTACAAATTTGTACTAGAGCTAGTACAAAGTTGAGACACTTATTTTGAGACGGAGGGAGTATATGGTAAGTCGGTTTCTAATGCTGAACCTGAACCGACCATGCAGCTCTAATAGCTGTCTAGCTGCATGCACCATCTTACTGGCTACTATTACTGCCTAGCTAAGTAGTTATAATACAAGGATTACAGCTAAAAAGGTACATTCCACAAAATAAGATACTAAATAGGTACTCCCTCTGTTCCTAAATATAGGTCCTTTTAGAGATTTCAATATGGACTACATACGGAGCAAAATGGATGAATCTCATTCTAAAATCCGCCTATATAGATCCGTATCTAGTGCGCATTGAAATCTTTAAAAAGACTTACATTTAGAGTTTCTTTGGTAGCATGCATGGAGAGTATATAGGCTGAGAAGTTCCCAACCCGACCCACTTTTGCTTGTTTGATAGGGTGTATGGGCTCACCTGAGCTATGCCCATCTGATGCTCTAAAAGGCCCTCAGACATGCCCATCTCATGTACCCCAGATAGGCCTGCCGGGGCGAGCGAGGCTCTGGCCGACCCACCCCTCCCTCGAACGACCCTCGCTCGTGCCCCCTCTCGTCCCGCTAGCCCCCATTCTCCCCTGACCTAGCCGCCTCTCCCACTACCTTGGACACCACCGGCTGATCTACCCCGCCGTCTTCTACCTCGCCACCGCCCCTGCTGATCTGGTCTTCCTCGCCGCTGCCTCACCGCTGGTCCCTCGCTCCACCCACCGGCCACCCTTCAACCTCGCCACCGCCAGCCCCAGCATGCCGTCGCCGCCGAGGCAGCACCTCCGCCCTTCCTTCCCCTACCTCCTCCTTCCTGCCTCGGGCCTCCACTGGGTGATTTTTTTTTATTTTGTCAAGTATGTATCTTCTGTACAGAGAGCCTACTATGGTTAGAAAATTGTATTCATGAAGGATTTCATTAATTATCTATGTACAAAGAGCCAGCCTACTATGGTTAAGTCAAAATTTATGCATGAAGGATTTGGTGAACTATCTATCTTCTTTTCATTGCTTGTCATGCTGAAACTTTTTGACATGATTTGATTTGTTTGTATTGTCATAGATGGATGAATTATGTCGTGCTAAGTTTCCTGTTTTTTTGCATATCTTTTCTACTAAGATTTGAATTGTTTGTATTGTCATATATGGATGAATTGGCAAGAAAATGAAGGCAACTAATTGTGAGAGGAGCCAGTCTAGTGGCTGGATTGTATGCTTACATCATGCAGGCTACCAAACAGTCTCAGCTCAGCATGCGTCAGTACATACATTGCTACCAAACAACTGCGGTTGCATGTACTAACCATGTCTAGACTAAGTATGTCTCCCAGGGGAACAACTATGCTAGCGTGGGAACAGCTACCAAACACATCCTTAGAAACGGAGGGAGTACATTCCAGGCAATAAATGATTTAACTAAGCAAAACATCTGCTGAGCATATGTACCTGGATTAAGAAGGAACTTCATGCAGACATTGTTGGCAATATCATGCATCCAGCAAATCATCTGCTCCTCCTCTTCTTCCCACTGTCATTAAGGAGTATAACAATTGTTCGTAAATAAACAAACAATGCAAAATGCAAAGCGATAAATAAATACATATATGCAAAAAAATATATCACCTCAAAAAACAGGCACATGTCTGCCTTACTCCACCTTAGAAACATGATCCTTTGATTCGAGCAACAGACATAAGACTTCCCTTCATTGTCACAGCACAAAAGATAAGTCAAATGCTTCAAGAGAAGCTCATACCTGCGGAAAGATGGCACAAGAAATGTTGTAAGAAAATTTTAAACATGAACATGCCAAATTTTAAACATATACGTGCGTGTACATTTACTGAGTAGAAAGAGGTGCAACCGTTTCATAGGGCAAATTAAGATGGGGTGCGTTCGCAAAATATACCGTTTAGGAATGCCAGGCGTGTGAGCCACCACAAGTTTTCTAGGGACCAGGAGCGGGACGTTGGTGGAGGTCAAGGAAAGGACGTCTGAATCTATAGGCACACTGCTCATCGTCGCTGAACGGTGCTCGCCGCGGATTGGGAGGGGATTAGGGCGGTGGGGAGGGGCAGAGCAGCGAGGGGAGTGGCGGCTGGAGTTGAAGGACAGAAGCCGCTCTCGAGCTCCCGGCGACTGCGCACTGTCGCTTAGCGCACCTACGAACGCACCTTGATGCCCCCTCCCCCCTGGAACTTGCGCTGGATGCAGTGGCCGACCACGGAGACGAAGTGGACGGCAGTATTGCAGTAGCCGACGAGGTGGACGCCGTTCGTGCCCCGCCTCGACGGGGACGAGCGCGCAGGAGAGAGGCGAAGCCGCGACTGTTCGAGGTCTCGGCTGGAGATCGGGACGACAGATAGGAGGAGGCGGCCTCACGGGGTGTAACGGTGCCGCGGCGATCTAGGGTTTGAGCTACGAGGAGATCGGGAGGAGAAGGGAAAGAGGAGAAGGCAGGAAAGTGCTTACATGTATACCTGGCCAAATGGGCCGGCCCGGCCCCACCTGGGTGACGGCCCGGCCAGGCACGCGAAGCACCCGATCCGTGCCGGGCCGGCACGCGTGCTGACCTCTGAGGCCCAGGCACGGCCCTTTTTTGGAAACAATCGTTGTCGCTGTCGTTGCCTCGACGCTCCCCTGGTCGATCCCTATCGCTGTCGCTAGCCGTGTCGTGATGTAGACCGAATCTCTTGGTGAGATCCGACCTGTTGTTGCGGCCCGATCTTTCACGGTACTCCACCTTTAGCAGCAATAGCCTCTCGCCCGCGCACGCAATGTACACGAATTAGAGGGTTTGAACCTTGCGGCTCAGCACGAGAGAAACAATCCGAACGACGGCACCTCACGCGCAAAACAATTTCCTCGCAGAAATCGCAACAAAGAGGTTTTCTAAAACTACCTCAAAAACTTGATACGGCCATCTACCCTTGAAAACATACCTGTCTATTTCATAAAATATAACCTCTTACATTGACCGTACTATGGCTATTTATAATAGTATAGCTGGCCCGTACATGGTTTGACCAACAAGCTAACCGCACCCCTAAACTAAAAAGGAAAACAAACTTGACCATAACAACCGACTTGACTAAATCTTAGGAAACAAAAACAACTAGTACGATTTGTTATTTGGTGCCGGTGACTTCTGCAATTTACCGGTGGACCCCACCCGGTTCCTTTTAAAGAAAACAAGTCTCTAATCTTCATAGTTGTCCATGAGTACGCTTCTTTGTCAGGTGGCCGCACCAGATGGAACTTGTATATTTTTATAACTCCTTGCTTGTGGTTAGCTGCGTACATGACTAATCTCCCATGGATGCACGTGAACTCATTTATCTCTGGCCCAAACTGAAACTGATCAATGTTGCATGTGGATTCTTTTGCTGGCTCAAACTGAACTCCTCCCAAAATATCTCCACAAACGTGACTCGCCAAGGCTTCATGTTTCCTATGCATGCATGGTCGTACGCACATGCATACAAGTGCTCATGTAGGCCTACTAGTAATTTCCATGGAGTCTTGTACATTCTTCACACTTTCCTGATCAATATGTATATACTTCAATGCATCTGTGTCATCTATTTTCAATCTTGGCGATACAACAATTAAATCTTCATCTTGAACAATACTAGTATCATATTCGGCCATCTGTGCAGACTTTGTTTTATCAGTAGCGACCATCATAGACAAATTGCACGGGGTCATATCATCCTCTCCTCCTTGCATCGAAACCGTCCTCGGTTTTGAGTCATCCTCTTTAGTAATATTTTTATCTTCAGGCTGAACGCCGGCAGTAGACATATCAGCAGCTTCAGCCTTCTTTTTTGCTTCTTCCTGCTCTTTCATCTTCACAATATGTTCTTTCCTCCAAGCAATAAAACGCTCCGCACCCATTGGCACGAGGCTGCACTTCTTATCCCTCTTGACGATATATCTGTGTGTTTTACGATCATACACAACATCATGCTCTTTGTACCATGGCTCGCCCAATAACAAGTGACATGAAATCATTGGTGCCGGAATCACATCGCACAAAACCTCGCAAAAATAATTTTCCAATAGAAACGGTACCTTGGCTTGTTGCGTGACAGTGTGCTCTTCATGACCCAAACGAAACAAGTATGGTTGTGGGCATGGTGTCATTGGCAGATTTAGCTTCTCCACCATCTCGATGCTTGCAGCATTGATCAAACTCATGTGATCAATTGTCATGGCGCACGATCTCTCTTTTACCACAACACGGGTATGGAAAAGGCCATCCCATCGACCTTCCTCCTCCAGCTGAAATCCATAGCTTAGCTTCCATGATAATCTAGTCATCTCCCGCACAGTGTCGTGAACAACCTTGCTCTGAATACCACCTGATGTAGACCGAACCTCTTGGTGAGATCCGACCTGTTGTTGCGGCCCGATCTTTCACGATACTCCACCTCTAGCAGCAATAGCCTCTCGCCCGCGCACGCAATGTACACGAATTAGAGGGTTTGAACCTTGCGGCTCAGCACGAGAGAAACAATCCGAACGACGGCACCTCACGCGCAAAACAATTTCCTCGCAGAAATCGCAACAAAGAGGTTTTCTAAAGCTACCTCAAAAACTTGATACGGGCATCTACCCTCGAAAACATATCTGTCTATTTCATAAAATATAACCTCTTACATTGACCGTACTATGGCTATTTATAATAGTATAGCTGGCCCGTACATGGTTTGACCAACAAGCTAACCGCACCCCTAAACCAAAAAGGAAAACAAACTTGACCATAACAACCGACTTGACTAAATCTTAGGAAACAAAAACAACTAGTACGACTTGTTATTTGGTGCCGGTGACTTCTGCAATTTACCGGTGGACCCCACCCGGTTCCTTTTAAAGAAAACAAGTCTCTAATCTTCATAGTTGTCCATGAGTACGCTTCTTTGTCAGGTGGCCGCACCAGATGGAACTTGTATATTTTTATAACTCCTTGCTTGTGGTTAGCTGCGTACATGACTAATCTCCCATGGATGCACGTGAACTCATTTATCTCTGGCCCAAACTGAAACTGATCAATGTTGCATGTGGATTCTTTTGCTGGCTCAAACTGAACTCCTCCCAAAATATCTCCACAAACGTGACTCGCCAAGGCTTCATGTTTCCTATGCATGCATGGCCGTACGCACATGCATACAAGTGCTCATGTAGGCCTACTAGTAATTTCCATGGAGTCTTGTACATTCTTCACACTTTCCTGATCAATATGTATATACTTCAATGCATCTGTGTCATCTATTTTCAATCTTGGCGATACAACAATTAAATCTTCATCTTGAACAATACTAGTATCATATTCGGCCATCTGTGCAGACTTTGTTTTATCAGTAGCGACCATCATAGACAAATTGCACGGGGTCATATCATGTCGGGCCGGGCTGGCACGCATGCCAGCAGAGGCAGCCCAGGCACGGCCCAAGCAGGGCCACGTGCCAGGCACGGCCCACTATGCCACGTGTCGTGCCAGCCCGTGACGGGCCAAGCACGCGGGCTAACATGCCGGCCCGACAAAAGGGCCTGTTTGTCTAGGTATACTTATATGAGGTTGGCGCATTAAAATCTTAACAACTAGTCTCCCCAATGCATAAGGGCATGTTCATTGCAAAGCGCTTGCGTAGGCGCTTATGACGAAAAAAATAAACATCGTAAAATAAAAAATCAGCTTAGCGCTTTACACCTCAACGTTGAGCGCTAAGACCAAGCGCTAATTAATTCCAAAACCAGCAAGGAAAGTTTGTCGCTACATGCATCGTTGAAGTCTGCAGGAAAAAAAAGACGAAGCGCCCGCCTCCAACTTTTGCGCCGATGCCATGTAAGACGCCAGGATTCGCTCGCCTAACTGCCAATTGGGCAGGATATTAATCCTAGCACCTGGGCCTAGCGCCCGGCATTGTAGGTGCCTTAAAGCCCTTCCCAGTGCTTCAAGGTGTACATGTGCTAAGTAGCCGACGCGGTGGACGCCGTTCGTGCCCCGCCTCGACGGGGACGAGCGTGCGGGAGAGAGGCGAGGCGGCGACTGTTCGAGGTCTCGGCTGGAGATCGGGACGACAGATAGGAGGAGGCGACGTCACGGGTGCCGCGGCGATCTAGGGTTTGAGCTACGAGGAGATCGGGAGGAGAAGGGAAAGAGAAGAAGGCAGGAAAGTGCTTACATGTATACCTGGCCAAATGGGACAGCCCGGCCCGGCACGGCCCGGCCTGGGTTAAACGGGCCAGGCACGGCACGGCCTGGCCAGGCACGCCAAGTACTCGGGTCGTGCTGGGCAGGCACGCGTGCTGGCCTCTGAGGCCCAGGCACAGCCCCTCCACTACACGGGCCGGCACGCTGGCCCGATTGGCACGACGGTAGACTTGGCCTGAGTGGCTCATCTGGGCATGCTACCTCTCGTGCGCTCGTGCCAGCAGGGCAGGAGGCACATCGAGGCACGGCTCCATTCAATGCCCGCTCATGGTCTCGCTCACTGTCTTTTTTTTTCGAAAACGATCGTTGTTGCTATCCCTCAGTCGCTCCTGGACGCTCCCCTCGATCGATTGTTGTCGCTGACTTGTCGTCGCTCCTTTTTTTAAACGATCATTGTCGCTGTCGCTGCCTGGACGCTCCCCTATATCGATCCATGCCGCTGTTGCTAGCCGTGCCGGGCCGGGCTGGCACGCGTGCCCGTAGAGGCAGCCCAGGCACGGCCCAACCCGGGCCACGTGGCAGGCACGACCCACTATGCCACGTGTCGTGTCGGCCCATGACGGGCTAGGCATGCGGGCTAACGTGTCGGCCCGACAAAAAGGGCCCGTTTGGCCAGGTATACTTACATGAGGTTGGTGCATTAAAAATCTTAACAACTAGTCTCCCCAATGTATAAGGGCATGTCCATTGCAAAGCGCTTGCTTAGGCGCTTATGACGAAAAATAAACATCATAAAATAAAAAATCAGCTTAACGCTTTACACCCCAACGCTGAGCACTAAGAACGGACGCTAATTAATCCC